GAGGAGGAGCTGGCGGTAAAAGCAAGTCAGATATTTTTCCCGCACATCACGGCGGCAAAACAGGGAGGCAAAAAACGCTCAAAAGCTGGGCTGGAAAACCACCAAAAGAACCTGGAATGGACGAACCTTTCAACATGGGGGAGCTGCTTGAGGCCATCCACTCAGCCAAACAAGGAAGCGCACCCGGACCCGACAGGATGACATATACGGCTCTTAGTAACCTCCCAGGCGAGACCAAAGAAGAGCTATTGAAGAAATATAACGAAACATGGAAGAAAGGAAAGATCCCTGACTCTTGGAAGATCTCTTGGGTGGCACCAATACCTAAACCCGGAAAGACGCAGGATAGAATCGAAAATTTCAGACCAGTTTGACTAACGTCCAGCATCTGCAAAGTCTTGGAGAAAATGGTCCTGCAGAGGGTACAATGGTACCTCGAGACCTACGACAGGCTGGACCCGAGGCAAACAGGATTCAGAGAAGCCATGGGAACACCAGACAGTCTCAAGCTGCTATACGAAGACGTGATGGCAGACAAGAAGAGCATAGATCCAAGACTTGTAGTTGTACTTGACATAAAACAAGCCTTTGATTCCGTTCCGCATTGGGCGGTGAAAGAAGGAGCTAAGAGATGTGGACTAAGGGGCAGAGCACTAAAATTCATCAAAGGCTTTCTGGCCAATAGAAGGTTTAAGGTGAAAATCGGGAACACAATGGGCCCGGAGACACTCAACAACAGAGGCGTACCACAGGAGGCAGTGATATCGCCCACATTATTTAACATGGTAATGGCAGATTTACCAACGAGACTGCGGCGCATTGAAAACCTCGGGTTCACAATATACGAGGATGATGTCACATTGTGGACCAAAGGAGGCTCGCTGGGAGACCAGGAGTTCACTATGCAACGGGGCATCGAGGAAGTTGCAAAGTACTTGGAGGAAGTCGGGATGGAGCCGTCCCCTGAAAAAACCCCATACATGGTCGTTGCGAGACCAAAGGACCACAGAAAAGGGATTGCACAGCAAGTGCAACTTCAACTCAAGGGAAAAGAACTAGAACGGCGTCCGAGCATAAAAATCCTTGGAGTTACATTTGAAGAAACAGCTGGGAGTACCAAATGGCTACCCGAACTGAGGAAGGTATGGGACCAGGCCCTGAAATTGATTCGTAGGACAACGAGTAAATCGTGGGGGGCGGACGAAAAAGCAATCCGGACCATGGCAGAAGCCCTCCTCACATCCAGAGCGCTCTACTGCTGCAACTGGATGAACCTCACCAAGGCTCAGTGGAAGCAAATTGAAAGACTGAACAATCAAATAATGAGAGTGGTAACTGGACTACCGAGATACACACCCTTCGACGAACTAAGGAAATATGCAGGAATGAACAAGATAGAGGGGAAAGCAGAGTCACAACAAATCGCACACTTTCAACACCTCGAAAGGACTAAACATGGGCGAAGACTATTGGAAATCCTAGGATACTCCACGGAAGGTAGGCCCCCGATCGAGGAGGCTTCCCCACCATGGCGAGACATAGGCGTAACTGATCACAAGCCAACATTCAAGGGACAAGGAACTAAACAGAGAAAATTCTCAGCCAAGAAACACGTCTAGTGGCTTGCGAAGAACACTGAATGTAAGGAAATAGGGTACACGGATGCCGCGAAGGACGACGGGGCTGCCGCAGCAGCCTTTGTCGACATTGCGAGGGACAGGACCTGGTCAGAGACGCTTCCAACGCAGACCTCGGTTAAAGAGGCTGAACTGCGTGCAATTTTAGCCGCAGCCAAAGATATTCGTGAAAGAATCGACCCAGGTAACAGGGCCTGGATCTTCACAGACTCTCAGACGGCGCTGAAAGCTTGCCGCAGCTGCAGAACGAGAAGCAGAACGGTCAAGAAGATCAAGAGTATTGCGGAGGAGCTCAGGAAGCTGGATTCTAAAATAACGATCGAGTGGCTACCCGGACACAACGATATCCCGGGGAACGAGAGGGCTCACCAGGCCGCAGTGGAGGCAGCTAGCAGCACCAGCTCCGCGCCAGGCCTTACCTCTCGAGTCGAAACGACGAATCAAATGTCAATAGACCCAGATAAAATGGCCGAGCAAGCCAAAGAAGGGAGGAAACTGTACCTGAAGGGTCTTCTGCTAACAGAGGAAGACCCGATACCACCAGGGTACACGAGATGGGAGACGGTTCGGCTACGGCGAATCAGGACAGGGACGGACCTAACTCCGGCGAAAAAAGCACCCTTCGGACTGAAGCACCACGAGGATCCAACGTGCAAGACATGCACAGAGGGATCCATGGCAACGACCAAACACGTGCTCTGGGAATGCAAAGGCCTGGAAGACTTTAGAGTAGAGTCATGGGACTCGCTACCAATCGAGAAAAGGCCCACGAACCTTGAAGACTGGACCCACCCCAAGGGACAGCCGCAGCACAGAAAAGAAATCCTGGACTCCCTGATCAGCTATATCAGGAACTCTGGGGTCCATCACTTCATCTAGATCTATTCATTGTCACTTACCCTTTCCTATAAATCCCTACATCCATTTTCCCTCTCGCCTCAGGGACACCAACCCATAGACGAGTGAACCTTTCATTAAATAAATACATGTTCTCTCTCTCTCTCTCTCAGTTCGATGGTGACCAAGAGCCTGGGGTGCTATGTTGCGCTTTTTGCACTCCCAGGAGACTTGGAAGAGGGAAGTGACGTCAACGACACAGCAAACGCAGATTGGATGTTGACAGAAGAAAACGAAATCAACACTCAATCTGCGTTTGCTGTGTCGTTGACGTCACTTCCCTCTCCCTAGTCTCCTGGGAGTGCAAAAAGCGCAACATAGCCCCCCTGCATTCAGAACAAAGCTCCAACCCACTCAGATGCCTCGAGAAAATTATATACACCGAAGTGCTTTAAAGTCGATTGTGTGCCGCCCACAGAATGACTAAATCTGATTTATTAGAATTAAACGCTTACGTAGCTCTTGTGTTCCATTCCTAAGTCGCGTCGTACTGACCCCCCGAATGCACAGGCCTCGCATCATCCGCTTAGGAGCATCTTCAACGTCTTCCTTTATCAGTCACTAGAAGGCCGCCATTGGTATCGCACAGATGCCGTTTCAGAGATGATGATAGTGATCAAAGTGGCCAGAGTGAATTTCGGAAAGGGTCTATTAACGAATTCGACTCCTTCAGTATCCTTTACGTAGAGTATTAGCATTTTACATCGTGAACTTGCATGAAACCAGAGAGAGCGATCAGCTGCCGCGCACCCACGGATAACAGAAGAACTCGACGAGGTAGGAGCATAGAGATCACATGGTAGGAGGACTGAGTTTTCGTGCCGCCTAGTGAGAACGCCTCTCACTAGACGGTGCTAAAACGCGGCCCTCAATCCTAGTTCGCATGCAGCGGTTTTGGCCCTAGAGCGGCGCGATTTCTGCCGTCGCGGTGCTCTGGCCAGCACCAGCAATTCTGCGGCACGAGCGCCGCGACGGCAGAAATCGCGCCGCTAGGGCCGCCCACACTAGCGAGAAAACGCGCGTGGCACGCCGATCGCGGCAAGTAACAAAATGTCGCCGAAGCACAGTCAGCGCCACGAGCGCGTGCAGACACACGCCCTTTATCTTGCCGCTTAACCGATTTATCGGCGCGCCGAGCGCGTTTTCTCGCTAGTGTGGGTGGCCCTATAGGGCCAAAACCGCTGCATGTGAAACACGCTTCAGCCGGGAGGAGGCTCTTCCGTAGGGAGCGCTCAGATGGAGTGGTCGCAAGTATAGAGTTGGTCGTGTACTAAAAACCTAGTAAAACGGTAGTAACGGTCGCAAGCAGGTATTAAATGCTGCAGTTACTAGCTCTTTATTATTTTTATTTTTAAGAGTATTCAAGAGCTCCGTTGGCCACCATTTTTCCTTCGAAAATTTCTAAGCATCACTGATACCTTTTTAATAAAATAACGATTAGTTCCGAAACATTTACATCTGGTTCGGCCCGCTAGGGCTAAATATTAGGCGGAGAATGGGCGTTCGGCAAGGCGTAGTTGAATTTGGCGGTGAAAACAAAACTGTAAATGTATTTGGGGGACATCCTATACTACATTAGTCAATCCCGGGAAATGTGAAGGTAATCTTGAAAATGTTTCGTGCATTAAAGGGACGATGCAACAATGTTTGCACTTTGCGCAAATACCGCTTAGAACGGATCCCTGACGTTAATGACCTCTCAAACATGCGTTCGTTTTTCACCCCACGCAATAGAAGTCTCAGAAAAAAAATAAGGAAAAACCAGCAGCGTTCACCCCCTCAACTAGCAGGCAGAGCAAGCGGTTTTGGAGCCGATTATATGCCGCCAATGTTGATCACAGCCACGCGCTAGTGTTGGCAAAGCACAGGACACGCGCTGAGTTCCAGCCATTTTTATGGCTCCGCTATTGTCGTCGTTGCAGCGGTTGGACACGGGTCACTACCAGAATACTTCTCGAGCTAGTAATTATTACAAGCCCAAATCGAGTGTCCACGCAATTATTGGGTCCAATCTATGAACCGCATTCAAATTTCATCATTGGGGTGTACTGCGATCTCCACGTTACGTCATCAAGTTTCGCAAAGGAGAGATTGAATAAAAATGATCGTTTTTGTCCTTGAAATTACACCGCAACAAAGAAGTTGCTTGACCAGTGGCGTTGCGAGCGAGTATTCTTGAGTCCCACTAGTGGTGCCAGTAAGCCCGTGTAAAGTGAAAAAAACGTTCATTTCAATATTATTGCACCACTCCTTTAAATAGAGGAATTCTAGTGTGTCGTTAATAAAAATAGTGTGTGTGAATTCAGCACTGTACAGCGCAAGGGACGATAAATGGTCCTTTGGATGTGCATTCTCGCATGTCTTCGCGTAAGCGCGTGAGGGATATATTGGAGAAACCCGTATCACCGTCTCGAGTGCCCAGCTTACACGGCCTTTTATTTCGTGCGTGACTCCAACACGTCCCAGGGCTGGAACGATGTGAGCTACAACGGCTGCCCCCAGATTCGAACGCCCAACATTGACGCCCTGGCCTGGAATGGCGTCCGACTGAGCAGGTACTACACCCAGGCCCTCTGCACACCTTCGAGGGCCACGCTCATGACCGGACGCTATCCTATTCACACCGGTGAGTGCATCGCGATCCTTTGTTTACTGTAGTCACTGGTACACTAAATATCGTTACACACTTAAGGGTGTTAACACCCATATTGGTGGACCAAAACGCTCTAAGAAAAGGGCGTTCATCCTATCACCCCTATAGACCAACACGCGCTTGACGTCGCGCAGCTGCGGTGGCGCTGTCGACGGCGCTGGGCATGCGCAGACACTTCACGCGATTTCGGTTTCTGCGCATGCGCAATGCCCACACCTGGTGTGGGCAAACGCGGGCTTGTTCGTAAAGAGTGTGTCGGTCTATAGGAAGGCGTTTTTCCAAACGGTCTAAATTAAGGTGTGATTCCACAGCACACATTTTTATTAGGGTGTTATGACTACGGTGCGCACGCCCTCTATATCAGTTGTACGACCGCCACAAAGGGTAGTAAAAAAACTTTCAGCCTTTCCAGTCTGAAGAAGGAAGACCAGCGAAGCTGTACACCCTAAGAAAAAGGGGAGCGCGACTTAGTCCCCGAAGGGAGCAAGTGCGTTGCTACAACCATTAGTCCCCTCGGGGACTAACGGGAAGGGGAGTAAAAGTTGCGCCCCTCCATTAGTCTCTCGCACTAGCACCGTTAGGACTAACTGTTACAGCGTTTCAATTGCACCTCGAGGACCAACTGTTAGGCCCTTGCACTTGGTCTCCTGGGACCAACTGTTACACCGTTTCAATTGAACCTCGAGGACGAACTGTTAGGCCCTTGCCCTTGGACCCCTAGGACTAACTGTTACACCGTTTCAAATGAACCCCGAAAACCGACTGTTAGGCCCTTGCACTTGAACCCCTGGGTCTAAACGTTGCACCGTTGGATATAGACCCCTGGGGCTAAAGGTTTATCCTTTGCATTTGGTCCCGAGCCACAAATCTCCAAAACGAAATCGTGCAGTTCAGGTTAAACGTAGCTTTATTGCCTCGTAAATACACATCGCATTCAAGGATGACTGAAGTCAAAGTTCCTGAGTGGTAGACTCCACGGTAAGGCCAGATTCCGAAGGGTGCACTTGCGTCGACGATGGCTTGAACACTGGGACGGCTGTCCAAACCGGTCGTGGTCCAAGCACCGTTTATTGGGGCACCTGCAGCTTCTTGCCTGTTTGCGAGGAATTTGGATTATTAGCAACAGGGGCAACGTGAAATACCCGATCGCTCAGCAAAAGTATGAGATATATCATATAACACACACATAATAAAATAACAAAATAGGCTAGAATGGTTCAAATCTAACATGCGATCTGTTGACAGCAGACCAGCGCAATATTATATTTTTAGTAGACCGTTCGCTGCAAATTACAGACCCCGCGTGTGCGTGTCAAACCATGCTTCAAAGTGACGGAACGAGCTCCCGCCATCAACGCGAAAATCTGTACAATCGAATGAATGTCTCCATTAAGGCCGGTTCTCACACGCAGCGAAGCTCTGAAGTAGCGCTGCTCACGTGTCGTGAGCTGCTTTTCGTCTCCCATGAGCAACAGTTTTGACGGTGCGATACACAGCTAATGAAAGCTCTCGTGAGAACGCGCTTAGCGCTAGGTCAGCGCTATGCTTGTAGCTCTCTGCTGCATGTGTGAACAGGCCTTTATGGTAAAGCGATCCTGCCAGGGTCTGCAAAACACAAAAAATAAGCGATCGGTAGAACTGGCGTTTTTCTCGATACGATTGAATATCAGGTCTCTGTGCTGCGTAACAAAATAAGCAACCATGGTGCCAAAAAGAATAGAGCATGGCGCGTGCTTTGAAAGCTAGAGAACGCGCTCAAAATAAAGCACTTTCTGACGCCGCAGTTAATGAATATATCCTAAACAGAAGTACTTTGACATACCTTAATCGAGTTACCTTGTCTTGTGACTTCAGAACAGATCAAATGCAGTGTTGCAGCACTGCGAATCCAAACCGGATCCCGCAACGATCGGAGACGACCAGCTTCTAAGTCCTGACGACGGCTCTACTAAAAACAGGTTCTTTTCAAACAAAGACCCCTTCCCGTTTTCCCGTTTTTCTCTCTGGCCCATCTGCCCTGCCCCCCGCGTGAGCGAGGAATGCGGGGTAGGGGGTTGCTGGGAGGGGGAAGGGAAATCCCTTTTTCCCCGAAAATCTCTTTTCCCCCTTTCACTACACACGACACACGGGCACACCTATGCCCGAAGGACGGGAGAAGGTCGAAGGTCGCCATTTTCAACACGCCGGTCAAGTGACGTTCAAGCAAACACGTTCTCTTGTTTGTTTTTTCTCTCTCTCTTTCTTTCTCTCCCTCTCTTTTCAGTTTTCTCGGGGGCCTTTTTTTTTTTAGTTCGCACTTGTTTTGTATTAGCAGGGTGTTGCCATGAATGACGTCCGGGCGCGGTTCGTTCTCCGTTGTTCATCTGGAATGTTATCTGAAACATCGACGACGATGGCATGAAGGCGTCTGGATACTACCCCTGAATGTGCTTTTTGAGTGGAACGTGCCGTGCATCAAGTGTGTCAGTGCGGATTTTGGGTTAGACATTGGACTACCAAGAAAGTTTGGTTACGGGGAGACGCAGAGACGAGGCTCGACCTGTTCTCAGTAACTCAGTTTTAGCGAGTGAAGTGACCATTTATTCTGACTGCGAGACTCCGGTGTTGAAAGCGCGTCTTCTACAAACTCTTAAGTTTCATTTAAGGAAACAAAAAGTGTTAGTATTCGGAGTTGTTGCGTTTGGATTAATGCTCATATTTTGCGCGAAGGCAAATTACGTGAATGGGAGTTGTGAAATGTCAACAGATCATTTTTGACGAGATAGTTGGGTGAAGTAGAGTCAATACTTTCGTTACCTCGCATTCGAACAACGCGCGAAGCTCTACCATGTAATGTCTGTACGTTCGTGGCACATCAAACAAATTCGCCAGTTTCGTCCGAGTTTTGTCAACACTTTCAGCCGTCCTGGGCAGACCCTCGCCGATCCCCAAGACAAGCGAAATATTATCCGTCCTCTTGGCGAACATTTTGTTTGCCTTCGGGGACTAAATCCTACAAATGCACCCTGTATGAGGTGGACTAATAGCTGCTTTTGCTCGCGCACGCCTATCGGTTAGTCCCAGTCGAGCGCCGTTAGTCCCCAGCTTTTGCGCGCTGTACCTAGCTTGAACCAGATGGTCCTTACGGAGAACAACTGGATGTTCAGAGGACCAAGTGCTGCCGTTAGTCCCCTGAGGCCAACTTTTTTCTTAGAGTGTACTATGGTCAGACGAACTCAAGGACGACTTCTTGGAAGACCTCAAGGACGACGCCTAAGGGCGACGTCAAGACGACCTCAAGGACGATGTTTAGGACGATCTCAAGGACGACATCTAGGACTACCTCGAGGACGACGCTTAGAGGACGACATCTGGACGGCCTCAAGGACCACGCTTAGGACGACCTCAGGGACGACGTCTAGGACGACCTCATGAACGACTTTTAAAACGATTTCGAAGAAGCCGTCTAGGACGAACTCAAGGACGTCTTCTGAGGTGACCTTAAGGACGACCTTGAGGACGATCTTGAGGACGACGTCTAGGACGACCTCAAGAATGACTTCTAGGACAACCTGGAGGAACACGTCTAGGACGACCTCAAGGACGACCTTTAGAACGACCTCAATGACGACTTCTATGACGACCTCGAGGACGACATTTAGGACGACACCTAGAGAAATTCAGCCTTTCCTCTCTGGCGAAAACCAGAGTGGAAAGGCTGGAGAGGTCGCCACCTATGAGCAAGGCCGGCAAGCCGATTGTCTGGTTGCCGTCGTCGAGCATTGATGGCGGTAGCTGTCGAGAGTTTTGTGTCGACATTTCTTGGTGGGGGACAAGATCCTGGGGAAACTAGCCCTTAACAGCTTTGGTGTAAAAGGCGAATGAACAACACCAGTAAAATAGGGTTTAATAAGTTAATAACCCGAAAGAGTGCACGACAAAAGTGACTGCACATGAGTCCAAAGGGGTGTAGCCCGAAGCAACCCATTCCCGTTTGAACCCGTCCTATTTCGACCCATTCCCGAATCGGCCTTCGCGTTTGAACCCGTCCCGTTTTGTTCCATTCCCGAAACGACCTTCTCATTCGAACCCGTCCCGTTTCAACCAATAACCAAAACACCCTTTGCATTTGATCCCGTCTCCTTTTCAACCCATTGATATAAGACCCTGCGCATCACAACCTTTTCACAAACAGTCTAATTGTTCTAACATTGATCTGCGCATATTTTCTTCTTAAAGGGGCGATGCAACAGTTTTTCTACTTTCCGCAGATACCGTTAAGAACGGATCCCTGACGATAATGACTTATGAAACACGCGTTCGTTTTTCACTCGACGCAATAGAAGTCCCAGAAAATAAATTGAAGAAAAACGAGCAATGTTCGCCCCCTCAACTCGCAGCCAGAAGAAGCGCCCACGTGATCTGGAGCCGATATTATATGCCGCCAGTGTTTATTATAGCCACGCGCTGGGGTTGGCAAGGCACAGGACACGCGCCGAGTTCCAGACATTGTTATGGCTCGGCTATCGTCGTCATTGCAGCGATAGGACAATGGCCACTACTCGAGAGCTTCTCGAGCTAGTAATTATCACGAACCCAAATCGAGTGCCCACGCAGTGCTCGGGTCCAATCTATAAACCGCATTCAAATATTGTCACTGGGGTGTACTGCGATCCCCACGTTACGTCATAAAATTTTGCAAAGGACAGATTGAATGAAAATGATCGCTTTTGTCCTTCAAATTACACCACAACAAAGGAGTTTCTTGGCCAGTGGCGTTGGGTGCGAGTATCTTCGAGTCCCACTAGTGTCAGTTAAGCTTGTTTAAAGTGAAAAACATTCCAATTGAATATTGTTGCACCGCCCCTTTAAGAATATATGTTCTGAAATATTTTTTGTGCCAATGTATTTTAAAATATGCACCCCTTTCAGGCAAGCTTCGAAGTAATATATTATTCGTACTTCAACCACTTAAAGTTTTTTTTTTTTTGTTT